GAGAGAGACAGGTATGCGCCCCAGGCTCTGCACACATGCAGCTACTCAGTGCCAGAGCCTGGCGAGGTTGTCGGGAAGCAAGCACCCAGAGGCTCTGAGGCCACAGAGAGGTCGGCAAGTGCTCAGGGGATTCTTCCCTCCTCCCCACCCCTCAGTGCTCTGTCCCAGGTGTGAGCTACACAGGTAAAAGGGTAGTTTCTTCACAGCAAAGCCACTTGTGTGCTGGGCTTTTTTTTTTTTTTTTTTTTTTAAGTATTCTAGTCTTTGTTCCTGGAGAAGTTTAGTGGTGAGAAGAGTAAGTTATTGTTTAATGTCTAATCCAGAGCAGAGGGCAGCACTCATGAGTTCCCCAACTAGCTGAAAATGTCAGCCGCAACAATCAAACTAACTAGTTGTTGTCCGTTTGATTATTGAGGGGGGGTACCTGGAGATCAGCTGGCCTTGGTCCTGCTGGCCTTGACATGAAACTCCACACTGGCCACAAGCAAGACAAAGCTCCTCACCTGAGCTGTGACCCCAAGTGAGACCAACTCCTTGCTGATACAGAAGCCAGGTACCTGGCCTCGCTGCAGGTTCTGATCCTCATCCTCACCCAACTTCCTCCTAAGTCCCAATTTCCACAAAGGGTATCACTTTGCATCCTCCCCTCTACAGGGTATCACTTTGCATCCTCCCCTCTACAGCTTAACAACCAATTTTTATCAAAGTTAAGCAATTAAGTCCCCATTGCCAGCATACTTAATTTTGTGTCAGTTATGCAAATAAAAACTTAAATTTCATGTTTTATGTAAAGTCGAGTAAGTCTTTCAGTTTGACTGCCAGTGTGTCTGTAAAATTTGAACCAAAACAGTTTTTCCTTTCTATTTTTCTGACCCTAGCCATTTAAACTCTTTCCGTACTTTTGCTTAGTAGGGTACTATAGTTGTGTTTTCAGAAAGATTAATGGGTGTCGGCTGAGCCTTCTGGAACCTGACCAGTGCTTTGGACTCTGGACTTAGGTTAATCATTGCTTATTGTTCAGATGTCAGATGCTTTCTCAGATTCCCATCCTCAGCATTTGGTGAGTCAGAAATGATTGAATCTGGAAAAGAATTTAGATGTGGAGAAACTGGAGTCCTTATGTATTTCCAGTAGAAAGGCAAAATGGTGGAGCCATTTTAGAAGACAGTTTGACAATTTCTTGAAATGTTAGAGATGCACTTAGCACCTGATGTAGCCAGCCCACCACTGGCTACATGTCCTCCTCAGGAAGGAAAGCCCACCGAGACTCACACATGCGCACTCAGAGCGTTAGCATTGACATCCCCACACTGGATCCACCCACAGCCGTCAGCTGGTGACTAGGTGAACAAAGGGTGTAAGGGCCATCGGATGGAATGTCACGCAGCCATGTAAAGGAAGGAAGTTCTGGCACACATACAACATAGATGAATCTCAAAAACATCAAGTTTAGTGAAAAAAAGTCATTTAGGACATTTCTAGAAAAGACAGAGTCCTAGGCACAAAAAGCAGATGACTGTTCCAGCTATTCCCCTTCTAGGAACTAGCACAGGAGAGATGAGAGATGTGTCTCATAAGGACTCATACTGCAGTGTTGACTGCAGTTTTATTTGCAGCAGCCCAATTCTAGAATGGACAAACTGTTCATGGAATGGAATACTGTTGAATGGACAAACAGTATTCTCTCTGTGCAGTGAGACATTGCTCAGCAATAAGAAGGAATGAATGTATGGATGGATCACAAAATGATTTTGTAGAGTGAAAGAAACCAGAAAAGAAAGGCACAATACTGTGCAGTTCTATTTAAAGCAAATTCTAGAAAATGAAGTTTATCCATAACAAAAGCAGACTCACGGTTGACCCACGGGTGAGGGGAGGCGTTGCAATGAACACAGGAAACTCGGGTGATGGGTGTATTTATTATCTTGATTGCAGTGATAGTTTTGCAGGTGTATCCATATGTCAACTTATCAAATTGTACATTTTAAGTATGTGTAGTTTATTGTGTCATTTATGCCTCAATGTTACTGTAAAAACGATTTAAGTAAATGATACTTCATTTTACTCATCAACCTAACATCAGAGCTGGTTTGAATTTTCAAGATCTCAGAATAAAGCCCGTAGGTAGATGTACCTTAAATACGGAACGTATAATACAGTCCTTTCCACATGAGTCACTGAGAGAGTTTTTGTGAGCTTTATGTTTTATATTTGATCTTTTTAATTCTCAGAGAATCGTCCACCGTTGGGCTGTCGGGAGCTCATCTTCAGAAACCTCTCCAAGATCCTTCCTGCCATCTGTCACGACATCACCGACTGGGTGGTGGGGACCAGGGTGAAGGCCACGCAGCTGCTGGCCGTGCTGCTGTTGCACGCTGAGGACCACATCACGCAGCACCTGGAGCTCCTGCTCCGAACCCTGCAGCTCGCCTGCGCCGACGAGGAGAAGGCTGTGGTCAGCAGTGTGAGTGCGTCTTTCTAGGGCTACTTCTCAGCCAAGCACAGTGTCTCCCTTCGTGTCCCTGTACCCACCCTAGTGGCCTCAGCGTGGCCTTTGGCAGCAAGTCATCATATTCCAGCCCGGCAAGGTGGGCCTAGTGCCTCCATCAGGTCTAAGCTGGGCTCCTCTCTCATGGCTGAGTTTCTTCCCGCACCAGTCTGGGTATCCAGGTGGCTGCCTTGCCAGGCATTGTCAACTGTCTCTGTTGTCGGACAGTGCGCAGTGTGCCCTGCTCTCGGCTGAGACCGAAAGGGCTGGGATGAGGAGACGCCAGCGCAGACGGCCTCCTGGAGGAGGCTCATTCACCTGGCCAGATGAGGGAGCCTAGCACCTCAACAGGCGGAGTCTGGTGGAAGGGGCCTGATGTAGGTGCCTGAGTTTGGAATTTGGAGCTTTTTGTCCTTACTTTGAAGTATAGATTTCCAGGAAGGTGCAGAGGTGATCCAGAGAGGCCTTGTGTTCTCTGTTGTCCCCCCATGTCACATTTCAGATAACCACAGGGCAGAGTCAGATCTTGGAGATGGACGTCAGTGCTTCATGTGTGGTTCATGTTATCACATGGATGCAGTCAAGACCTATAACTGCTCCTCCACAGAGACCTCCTTTGGGCTGTTGGGCTTCCCCTTCCTGTAATCACTCTCAAATTCGACCACCCCACCCCAAACCCCTACTGGTACTACTGCTGTTCTCTGGGTCTGTCCTCATGTCATTTTGAAGATGTGTAAATGGAATGACTGGGTACAGCCTTCAGGGGTTCGAGTTTTCACCCACCCTGATGCCCTAAGTCCCCAGAGCTGCTGTGAGCGTAACAGTCCTTCTTGTTGCCAAGTGTGTTTAACCACTGTCAGTAAGCCGTTTCCGTCACTGGTTGCTGGGAATCCCGCAGGACTCAGATCCATGTGAGTCAGCTATCCCTCTCGCTGCCACAGATTTCTCCTGTCGAAGGCAGGGGAGATCTCACAAGAAGACCTTCCTGCTTTTCATGAGTGCTCTGACCCCACACCAAGAAGAGATTTTGTCCTGCCAGACCATGGACAGAAAGCCCCATGAGGTAGACCACAGGGGTACGGACAGCCCTCACCCTTACATTTCTCTTACAGTGTAAAAGGTCCGCAGAGCTCATTGGGACTTTTGTCAGCCCAGAAGTGTTTCTGAAGTTGATCTTGTCAATGCTGAAAAAGTCACCCTCCTCCTCCAGCCTCTTGATCCTTGCTGCAGCCATCCGAGGCTGCCCTAGGGAAGCCCTCCAGCCACACCTGAAGGTCATTGCCATGGAACTGACCCAGACTCATATCTGCCAAGCCTCTGAGAAAGTAAGTCCATAGGGAAGTGTGGGAGATGGGAAATGTGATTAACCGGTCAGTGTTATAATGGTGGGCGTGTTCCCTGCCAATTGCTGTCTGCATATACGTATTGACAGTTACGAGTAAATCCAGTATAGAACCCATGTCAAGAGGCTCACAGAGATGCCCAAACAGCTGGCAGCCAGAGGCTGCCACTACATGCTCTTATTGGAACTCACACGCTTCCTGTTGCAGTCTGTTCTGTCCAGTATGACAGTCATCTCAATTAAAGTTGTCAACTTAAAATGCAGACCCTCAGTCTCACTGGCCCAGCAGCCATGTGTGGCCAGCATCTGCTCTGTTGGACTTAGCAGCATAGAACACATCCATTGTCGAGGAAGGTTCTACTGGAGAAGTTGCACAGTCTGCTGCTGTGGCAGGGTCCACTTCTGTTCCCTTGAGATGGAGTTGAAGGCCACGCAGCCTGCTTGTCAGTCCAGTTGTACTTGTTGCAGTCACCCGTCTGCAGTATTGCCATGAGCTCATATGACGTCATCGGCACCACTTGCTTTTCTAACACTGCCTCATTTTCTGATTTTTCCAAGGAAAAATTTCCCCGATGACCTTTGAAACAGAGAGAAGTTTTTTAGCAGTGTTGAATCGGCATAGGGAGTTGGGTGCCATCTCTCATCTTTCTCCTGTGCACGTGTTCCAGCCCGTGGCCTGGCCCGTGAACCACTCTCTCTGACCTGTGCTCAGACTAACCTCTTCTTCCCGTGGTGGGCCTGTGGCGTGCCCAGTTAGTGTCATGTGCTTTGGATTCTGCTTTGTAACTGTAAGAATAGGTTACAAGTGTCTTCTGGGACAAGCTCAAAGTTTTAAAATGCTTTTGTTAAAGAAAGCAGCCCTCTGAGATGTTTTCTGAGCCCTGAAGCACCTTTGTTGTTTGTTTGTTGTGGGGGTGGGGGAGGAAGGAAGAGGAGCTGACCATAGTGGAAGGTTCTTTCCCAGGTGTCTGGGCAGCCCCACACCTGGAGCTGGGCTGTGGGGAACCTGATTTTCCTCTGTAAAATGTCTGTTTAGTGACAGGTAATGAAACAAGGAAACTGTTTGATGACATAAGGATAGCTCCGTTTTTCCTGTTTAACTGTTTCTGAAACTAAGAGCCTCTAGCACTTTCTCTGGTAAAGGCTTTGCAGTCTCAGATAACATTGTTTCAGGAGCAAAAAAAGCTATTGAGTAGCATTTCCTTCTATGTTGGGTTTGTTTTTGTGTTTGTTTTTTTTTTTTTTTTTTTTTTTTTGCTGTTGCTCTTTCACTCTGTGTGGGTAGATGTGGAGCATTCTCTGGTTCAATATAGAGAAACCCATACATTATGATAAGGCCTCGTTTCCTCGGAGATGCTGCCCTGTTCATAGCAGGTGGGTGATGCTGGGCAGGGCACAGGGCTCTTTGGACCTGGCACAAGACAACTCAACAAAAGCTATTGATTGATACTCATGGATACTCGTGGCACGTCTTTTAAAGAGGTTAAATTCCTTTTTAATTTTTAAATAATAGCTCCTTAAATATACTTTAGAGGTCATTTTTGAAATTAGCTGAAATCACATTCTCAAAAATCAATCAAGCAATCCAGGTCTAAAAGAAATTGGACTATAGGAAAAGTAAGGATTAGAGTCAAAACACCAATCTGTGGTTCCCAGCCAGCTCCTCCAGACCCAGCGGTTCCGGGTCCCCCGTGGTCAGGATTGGGAGGGTCTAGGGATGCCAGGACCAACTCCTGAGGTGCAGTATGATTTTTTTGTGTTTAAATTTTAATGATTTATACCACTGTGTATGAGTCATGAAATTTTACAACTGATTCAGAATTTAAAACCAACCCATTAGCTAGCCATTTGAAAACTTTTTTGAACTCATGCCCCAATTAGTAAAATAAATTTAAGCATATACCTCTTTTATATATATATATATATATATATATACCCATTTGTTTATGAGTTATATTTACAAGCTCTCTATTGTATGAGGCATACATATAGTAGACATGTTAAATAAAGGACCTTATAAGCGATAAATACAGATATTTACTTATATTTATACACCGCCATCCCCAGTGGCACAGGTGTGCTACCCCCTATACCCCCCTCCAGGTTCCCGTTTTGTTGTTGCTGAGGCTAAACCCTGGGGGTAGTCAGTGGGCTCAACCCAACTGAGCTAATACTTTTGTCATCCCTCCATCCCCCCTTCCAAAATTGCATGCATCAGGAAGCATTTTTGATCCATAAAATTTTATATTTGTTAAAACTTAGTTTTATCACAATATCAAAATGCACAAAAATAGAGAGAATAGCAGAGTGAACCTCCAGGTAGCTGTCATCCGACTTCAAGGGTTCTGTACTCCTTTGGTCAAGGTGGAGTATTAGGGCAACTCCCTTTTTTCTTATCTTTGGGTGTGGGGTGAGAACAACTAGGGTATTTCAAATACAAGATTCAGTCATTTCTTTTGTAAATAACTCTAGTATGTATCACTAAGGTATACGAACTGGCTTCAAACAGTTGAAATACGAATAAGCGTTTAACAAAATTAATGCCAATTCCTAGCTCCCCATGTGCCTTCAGTCCTCCCCTGTCACGTGCGTTGGAGTCAGTGATCCGACGCCCACTCCAGAATAGTCTCAGCCCTCACACTCCATCTCGGTGGCCTGCTCCGAAAGCTCGCCAGGGGCTAGGAGGTGGACAGCCGACTGACAGTACCCCCTTTCTCCACAGCAGCTCTACGGGGAGCACCTACTGCTCTGTGTGCAGGCTGTGGTGGCAGCCTGCCAGAGCGACTGCCGCGACTTCAGCTTGCAGCTCATGGAAGTGCTGGTGACTGTGATGGCTCTGTGGGGCGCCTCAGGCCTTAGTGACAAGGTAAGGTTGGTGGGGGTGTCTGCTCTGCCGCCTGGCAAGATGGAACTTATGCGTAGGGAGGCTCTCCTCTGAGTGTCTGTAACTCTCCTCTGTCTTGAATTCCTAGCCTCAGGCATGCCTGACTCAAGCTGATTAGCAAAGATGAAAGAATTTAGAACATTTGGAATGAGTCATTCAGGAGGTGGCCTTAGGGGTGCACAGAAGCTTAGATCCCCTCCAACTGCCAATTTAATATCTCCGAGTGAAGACAGGTACTTCATCTTGGAGTCCATGGCAAAGAAACAAATAAGGAATTATCCCATCCTCATCTTAAATCTACATTTCAGTTTGGTTAAAAGCATGCCCATTACTGAAATGAAAAGAAAAGAAATGAAATAAAAGTAATATAATTTTCTTATTTAATTGCAGCCCAACTTTTAAAAATTGTTTCCTTTCCATTGGCTCTAAACTCTCCTGACCAATAATTCCCAGTGGACTCAGGGCCATATGGAGACCCAGTTGCTGGCTGCTTCCACGAAAGCAACTTAATTTTCCTTCTAGTTCTCCTGCCAGCCCTTCGGCAGCTTGCTCTCTATAAGTTGGCTGCCTGATGGAGAGGCCATCCTGGAAGGTTGGAGAGCCTCGTGACTCCACATTGACACCTCCACCCCCTTCTCTTCTCCAGGCCCCTTTAAAAACGAGCTTTCCAAAGGGCACATGTCTTAGCAGGCAGCTTGTCACTCATAGTGCTGTAAATACTAGCAAAAGTGCTTCACGAGCACAAAGGAGCAAAACCGGACCTCCTTAGGTTACAGGTGAGTCTGCAGAATAGTCTCAGGCCTCCCAGAATTTCCAGCACTTCCTAATTTCCAGATCCCAGTGGATCTTCTCAGGTTAGGAGGCGGCTGCCACCTTTATCCCTTCATCTTCCATTACCCTCTGCTTCCCTTCAGAACAGCAGAGGTATTTTCACCTGAAGGTATGGGTGGAGTTAAAGAACTAAGTGAGAGAGGATGCAAGACACAGTTTGTCTATTCAGTTTAACCCCCCAAAGCCACCTGGTCCCCTTCAGAGACAAAGCCCAAGCTGGCCCCCACAGCCCTCCCACCCACAGGAGAATCATCAGCTTGGAGAGAGCCACCTCTCCAAAGAAGCACACCTGCTTGTGTGCACACCTAGGGGCACTGTTGCTGAACTTCTTGGGAAATGTGCATCTGCAGCTCTAGCGCTGGTGGCACAGGCAGCATTGCCATAACATGAATGGAAATCGAAGTTGTCACGGGCGTGTGCAGTCAGCTCCCAGCATGAGCTTCCACAGGTTTCCGTGTTGTCACACTCCCTCACCAGGTCAGTGTGCACAGCTAACCTGGTTTTTCCAGCAGGCATGTCCCCACGTGGTTTTGACTCTCTCAGGTGATGGGAAGCGCTGATGGTGGTTTTGTGCCTGCAGAATGGGGACTGCCCCAGCTCATTGCTTGCACTTCCAGGTCCAGGAGACCATGGACTCACTGGCCGAGGTGGAGGGTGTTGATGGCAGCCAGGGTCTCTACAGAAAGCACGTGAGCGCCCTCATGGAGTGGCTGGCGGGATCACACCATGAATGGACCGTCTACTCTGCTGAACTCCTGCAGTTCAATGTGGTCGTTATGCAGTCAGGTGAGCCCCCTCCCCTGGGCCAGGATGCCACAGACCTAGCTATATGATACTGAGGTGTTTTTTTTTTTTTAAGGTAACTAATTTACTCTTCCCTATAGTGATTATGCAGCTTACGGGACAAAACCTTCATTTTTAAAAATACCGAGAACGTCATATTGAAGACTTTATGTAACATAACTCTTTAAATCTGCTCAGGCACACATTTTTTATGTTTAGCCTTGAAAATGTGATTTTACATGCTCTCTTTTGTTGCTTTTATTTTTCAAATGCTAAATATTGCAAAATTTAGAATATCCAGTCAAATTGGTATTTTGAATGTGTGACTATAGTCTCAAGTCAGCCCCACAGAGACTTCAGTGTTTTATCTGTTCCCCATAAGTCTCCAAATTTGGGCACTGTCTGAAATGAGCAGTATTGCTTTAAAATACTCTGTTACAGATGTAGAATGCACATGTCAACATTTTAATGAGGTTCTTGATAAAGAAATTACAATGATTTATTGTACATATCCTGTACTTTCCCAGGTGACTATAAACGTGTCAAGCAAGTTTCTTCTTCTTCATTTAAATTTATTACGAATTCTGCTTCCGCCTAAGTTACATGCTCTCCCAAAGCTTTCCTGTGCTGCCCCCTCCCCACCGCCTCTCTCTGTAATTATGGGTCTGCAGGGACACATGTTGTTCACATGTGACCTCCAAGCACCATAGTGATTTATTGCCATTGTGAGAAGATGCCCGGTGAGCCCGTGACATCAGTAATGGAACAAAAATCCAAATTGTCCTTGTTATTTGTGTGCTAAACTATGTTCCCATACTTGAGATGAAAAGTAGAGATGACTGCTGGAAGTGCTTGCTGTGTTATGCCAGGCGCTATTGTAATTACTTTGGAAATATCAGCTGCATCCTCACAGCCAGGTGTAGGGCTGTCACCCCTGTGCCATGGAGGAGACTGAGGACACATGGCATCAGTGACCTTCTTGGGCTCACACGGCCCATAACTGGGACATGACCCAACAGCAGCAGCCCCTCCTCCCCCTTGGGGAGGGGGCCCAAGGCATCAAATTCTGCATTTTACTGATTGTCACCCATTTTCATGAATCAGATTGGTCTCATCTTTACAACTGAGGAAGTTGAGCCCAAAACCAAAGAGCCTGGCCTCACGCTCCTTTCCAGCAGCAAAGCCAGGGGCCCTGAGGCAGTCTCCCTGCTATTAGCATCTCATGTTACACACGTCAAGACAAGAAAACGTTGACAATGTGATGGTGCAGCGCAGCCCAGCTATTGACCCGGGGCCCCTGTGCAGCCCCCAGCCAGTGCTCTGAGAGCCTGAAGGATGTTGTTTCCTTTTATTCTTTATTTTTCCCTGTTTTCTATAATGAACCTGTTTTGCTGTAATGAATAGAGATTTCTGAATTTCTTATTGACAAAAGTTGTGTTAAGAATGTCACTTTAATTATATTAAACATGTTAAGTATACAGAGGCAGATAACTTCTAAACTTTGACAAGACCAGGAAAGAGACAAATAGATTAGATTTTATATGCACATTTGAAAGGGAAGGAGATTTGGGGATAGTCACAGTAAATATGATAGTGTCAAGCCTTTGTTTTATAAAATCCACCCGTGGTAAAGCTAGCACAAGCCCCACAACAGGCAGGGTGGCTGCGTTATAAGGAAAACATTAATAAATACTGGTGAACAAACATTAGGGGAAATTCAGTCTTTCAGTAATAAAGAAACATGGTTTATAACTGCGGGGTGCCATTTTCCACCCATCCATTTAGGCTAGTGCTAAACACTGTCTTTGGTGGCTTCAAGCTGGAGGGGCTGGGTGGTACCAGCAGCTCAGTAAAGGGGTACTTTGGTTTGGAGAACAGTTTTATATCATACTTGTAGACTCACCAGTGTATTCACACCCTTTATCCAACAGTCAAATGATTAGAATCTGTCCTGAGGAAACGTTCTAATTGTGGAAAAAGCCATGTGCCCAAAAATACTCAGCAGGGCATGTTCAGTAGCAGAAGTTGGAAGTGGTCCAAACACCTCCCTGGAAGATGACACTGTAACAACATTTCCATAGAAGGAGGGCCCTGGCCCTCATTAAACATGGTGACAAGCCTGCAGGGGAAGCCTGTGAGGGAAGACGGCAGGCAGAGCACGCACTTTGTGGGTGGGGGTCGGTGCTGCAGAGGAAGGTACGGGGCACAATCCTAGGGTTGTGTTTTAGTTTGGAGGATTTTTGTTCATGTCCTGAATACCAGTGACCCACTCGGAAAAAATGCCAACAAATCCCTCCATCCTCAGAAGAGGTCGTCACTTGGGAGAATCATGACCCTAGGCGTCCTGTTCTCTTCTCTGTTTGAGCCATGGGATGTGTGTGGTGTTGCCATCCAGTTTGTTCAAATGTGAAAGGAGAGAAAACACAGAAACGGTTCCAGGAAGGCCCTGAGTCCTACGATTTGGGACCTGCCGACCCAGGTGGGTGAGGGTGCTACTGTCTGCTGGACACACAGCAGAGCGCGTGCCTCCTGGCCCTGCGTACTGGGCATCACAAGGAGGCCTTCCCAGATGACAGCACTCCCTAGCACTTGGTATCAGGACTCAAGGCCATCCTCCCACTCAGGCAGGAAGGACGTACGAAGCTCCTTGACTCAGGGCCCCCACACACACACGCCCTCCTGGTTGGCACCAACACTAGTTGGAAAAGGAGAGGGATCTGCATCAACCTCAGCCTTGAGTGGGGGTTCCAGGGCCTTACAGTGTTCTCCGTGGGCGGGAAAGGGAAGGGATGGCAGTGGCACTGAAGGTGCTTCTGGAGCCAGGCCGTGATTTAGGGTGCATTGAATAACGTTGGTACTTCCAGCTTGGCTGAGCTCAGGGTGTGTGCAGGTATGCGAGAACTTTCATTCCCCGTTAAAATCACCTCCCTATAGTACAGCCGGTCCCCTTCACTAGTGGGATCCTCATCCCCAACCCCAGGCCCCCTGTACCTTCCAGTGCAGGCCCCAGCTCCTGGTATTGGGCATGTGCAGGAGATGTTTGTGGGAAGCATGCCTGGTGTGTGCTGTATCCGTGAGATTTAGAGACACTGGTAGGGTGCAGGTTGCTTGGGGTTACCCACCGGTGCCCTCTGTAAGTTCTGTTGATGAGGAAAGAGGAAGTCGCACCTCAGTTGGGAGCTGCTGTGGGGATCCTAGCGCATCCCTGGGCCAGTTTGCACACTTTGTACAGACTTGGAAGTGGGCCCTGTGCCTGGCCTGGCCTGGCCCAACACTCTCCCTGGCTCTTGAGAAATTCCTCACTTGGACCATCTAAGGAAAGTTATTTAGCTGGACGTGGCGCTGGATATTCATTTTTAAAAGGTCATTCTTTTTAAAAAAGAAAAAAGAAATCCAAACTGATGTTAACTCTCCACCCAACTTAGGAAGTGGTGGCCAAAGGCTGCTTCCGTGTCCTAACAGTGCGACCCAGCGTGATGCTCGAAACTGGTGACATGTCTCAGTTGGCTGGCCCAGGAGGACACAGGCCACTCTGTGTTCTTCCCTGCACTGACTGGCACCTGGATGGCAGGCTGGGTGGTGGGCAGCTCTGGCCACGGCCGCACCCAGCATCTGCATTTCCTCAGAGGGGCTCCCTTTCCACGGTATAACTTGTGTGTTTGCAGCTTTGTGTGAGCTCGTGATGCCTGCTTGTCACTGGAAGGGGCTCACTTCCAGGTGCCCCCCGACCTCTGACCTGACCTTCACTGGGCTGCTTCCGGCACCTGTGGTGGTAAAGCAGCACCTCTGCACCTCCCCAGACATCCTTCATTCTTTTGTGGCACTCGGTGTGTCGTGCATGTCTCCAGCCACTCAGATTTCCTTTTTTATGCCAGGCATTTTGACAGATGTCCCACAGTTCTGGGGATTTGGGAGCTTTTGTTTGACTCCAACTTTAGACTTTAAAAATGCCATGTTTCGTGCTGGTGTGTAAAGTGGGGCAATGGCATGGAGGATGGGGTGGCAGGACGGGGCAGGACGTGTGGGATGCAGCTCCTCCTGTGTTTGTTTTCCCTGGCTTCCGTGTGGGTGAAGCATCTCTGGAAGTGTGTTCCTGAATGCCTGTGCCCTCCTCCTCTGGGGGAAGTGTCCACACATCCATTTTCTATGCTGTTAAAAGGATATGACCCAAGGGGTGAGCACACCCGACACCCTCCCTGCAGCGACCTGCTCCAGGCAACGGCTCTCTTGCTGGCTTTGTTTGTTCTCTCCCTGGGCCCACCTTACACTTCCAGCCGTGAACTAGTCCTCTCCCCCTGCCCCCCAGGGCACATCTTTTTATCCCAGGGGTTTCAGTGTCGGGGTTTGAGATGTGGCATCTTAAAAGATTTAGGTTGCTTCTCTTGTTCTGGAGCTCCGTACAGAATTAACAAACTCTTGTAAGAGAGGATGGCCTAAGGTTTGTGGTCTGGTCTGTCAGCACAGGGCCACAAGGAGGTTGGCAAGTAGGCTCTTCTGTCCTGTGAGCCCCAGCTCATGTCAAGACCCCAGACAGTGATTCCATCATGAGTCAGTGAGTTTGCAAGTGCTAAACACATTTGCCTGTGGAATCTTTTTCTAGCACAGTGAGAAGAACATCCATTTCTTCTTTGTCTAGCAGCAAGTTTGGAAAAGGACGTTGGCTACGAAGTTCAGGGGCAGATCTCCAGCATCTCACATGTTCTGAGTAATCCTTTTAGTTGGTCTTTAAAATATTGCTTGACTTTAATTTTTCTTTTAAGAATTTGGAAAGTATAAATAAGATAGAAGTTTGCATATTGAATCACTAGAGTGGTTGGAGCATTAAATTTTCTTGAGAATCAGCTATAGCCATTGAGCTGTGCTCAGATCATGGCCCCAGAGCTGAGAACGTGCGCCCCCTTGCTCATAGCGGGGGCCACATAGGAGCTAGTTTTTTGTTTTGTTTTTTTCCCAGGTCCTGCCCTGGGTGAAGCACTGCCTCACCTGGTCCCCATTCTCAGGGGCTGCCTCCAGCCAGCCAGAGAGCCGCAGATGCGCCTGAAGCTCCTCTCCATCCTGTCCCAGGTGCTGCTGCGGGCCAAGGAGACTGTGGACTCCCAGGGGTAGGTCTGCTCTGCCCCGTGGGGCCCCATGCTGTCCCCTACCACTCCCGCCCGGTTCTGTGTTGCGGGTGGAGTCTCCGGCCCCTTCCTCCACACAAAGGTCTCAGGTGGAACCAGGGTGACCCTGAGCAAGAGCGGGCCGTCTCCACACCTCCTCCCTGAGTAAACAGCACGGTCAGGACAGTGAATGTGAGCAGAGACACTAAATCAAAGTCACTTCAGTGTGGGTAGTCATTAAAATTCCATTGTATGGGCCTTAAAAAAAAAATTCCATTGTATGAAAAAGTTTCAGGGAACATTAACTATTAATGGTTTATATATTGGCTGTACTCAGTTTTAAAAGCCTTTTGGTACCTTTCAGACCTAACAAAGAATTGATTGAGTTACCATTGATGGTTAAAGCATGAGAACTCTCCTATCAAAGAACTTTTAGGCAGCCATAACACATTAAGGGACTCCACTTTAATGACTTTGAAGGAAAGGGGAACAAAGAAATAGGAGAAAAGAGAAAGCACGGTCAGAAGCCAGAGTCTCGGGGTCAGAGCCACTCTGACACCCACTGCGGTACCGGGACTGCATGTGAGTCTTTCTGTGCTGGGGGAAACCCCAGCAGCAGGTTGTGTGAGGAATCCGGATAGAGGAGAGAGCCCTCCAGGACCCTGCCACTTCCCTGGAAAGGCAGGAAATATCCAGAGCAGAAGAATGAGCAGGCCTACGTGATGGTCCACATGATGGGCTGTCCGGGGACCCACGATCTTGAGGACACATCTCCCCAGAGGGGAGCCCTGAGCTGGGTGGGCTTCGATCACCCATCTCCTAGGAAGGCGCCTGGTTCTGTGGGCAGCTTGGTCAGTCTTTTCTTCTCTGTGTGTGACACTTGCTCCTCTGTGCCTGTGGGCCTTCAGCCAGCCCGTCATATTGAAGGGAACTTTATTTCTTGCTTGACTACAGAAATGTCAGGGCCTGAAGGTCCTGTAGAGAGACGCTAAGTAGAGCCCTGGCCACTATCCTGCTAGGAGGCACATCTTCCTAGAGAACCTGCAGCCATGGGGCCTTACGATGAGGCTGGTCAGTGCTCAGAGCCCTGCACTGCTCCGTCTCCTGGAGCAGCCAGCACACCCTGCAGCAGTTAACCCCTGCCGAGCACAACTTCCAGATTTGGACTAAGTTCCCACATAAACTGCACCTTGGGTATGTGGGGCCATAAATCAGTATCAGGTGAAGTAAGTTGTTCAATTCAATTATTCTACTGAAAGTATTGACTACTTTTACAAACAAGAAAGATTTTGAAAATACCATTCACTTGATTTTGACACTATAAAATGATAGAATCATAAAAATCTAATTGGCTCTGCTGACATAGAAACAGTGAGAAGAGCTCATCTGTCTGGAGTGTGTTCACCCTGGGCCCACTGCAGTGAATGCCCATGCAGCTTGCAGGTTCTCTGTGGGGTGGACAGAGGGCAAATACCCGAGAAGAGGCTCCTGGGATCAGAAATTTCCACCTTGGACTTCCATCTGACACTCGTGAAGTCTTCCAAAGCTTTCACTGATGAGGGCCTCAGGACTGCAAGGGGACTTGAGGGGCTCCTCCATGGGAAGATGGCCCCATAGTTGGAGAGTGACCAGGACATGAACGCTGCATGTCCCCAGGGCTGCCCTTGGGCAGCTCAGAGCCTGTCACCTTTGGAAGCCCCACTACCAGCCTACCCTGCTGTCTGCAATTGCTGTCATTGGGCTTTCCCTTTTTGGTTCTCTCATTTTACCCCAAGTTATACAGGCTTGTCAGGGTGCCTTCTCGCCCCAGCTATGCTATATTCCCCCGTGGTAGCTGAGAACAGGAGGTGTCAATGCCTCAGGGTAAAATGAGGATCTTGAGTGCGAGATTCCAGAGAGCAGCTCCTCATTCAGCCTTGCAAAGGAAGGAGACTGGGCCAGCCTCCCAAATGTTGCTGTTCCTCAAGGGTGCCTCACCCGCAAGAGGAGGTATCTTCCTCACACCGTAGAATACATTTTTTGAAAGCAGATGCTTTTTTTCTCCCCAGCATTTAAATGCTTTAGAAGGTAGGTTCTAACTCACGCCAGAAGTAGCACCACATGGTCACTGCCCAGCCAGCACCTGGAGATGGGCTTTCCTATATGATTTGAGTGGATGCCTAAGAGACAGGACAGGTTGTAAATCACTGTACAGGAAACAACAGCTCTTTGCTTAAAAAATTAAAGCGCACTGAAAGCCTAATTGAATAAACGTAAATCACCTTGGACTAAGTTCACCTTCCAGCTTTGCTCTTGTACTTTCATTGTTGGTTCTGGAATGCCCCCTGCTGGAAGCAGGTGGGGGGAAGAGGAAAAAAAAAAAAAGGAGTTAGGATCTTGGAGGCCGCTGAAGCAGGCACACAGGAAGCCGAGAATATCAGGCTGCCCTGAGGACCTTTGTCTCGCCAGGTGGTGTTCACACGGTGTTCATGCTGCTTTGGCATAATGGGAAAACAGATGCCGATGGGATGTGAGCCACCTTTGAAATGCACTGGGGTAGTGTTGGGAGATATGTTCATGAATTACTTGTTCCATGGAATGTTCTGTTCTATTTGTAGAGGCCTGTAGGCACAGTGGGATTCCTCAGCCGTATCAAGGCATTTCTGTGCAGTGTTAATAGCGTCCTAAATGCACCTCATCAGTACTGAGCCAGCAAGCAAAGTGGAACCTGTGCATGGCTGGAGCTCTTGTTTGATGGCACTTTGTTGTTGTCCTGAGCACAAGGGCAACCGGCTAGTCCGTATTTGAGAAGACCCTGTGCACATACACACAACCAGGGTTGGAGGGTGAATTTCCCTGTCCCGCTGTGCTGCTGCATTAGATCCCTGGGGTCCCATCTTGGTGTCCCTTTCCATTTGCCTCTCCACAGTCAGAAGTAGACAACCAGTGCTCTCCAAGATATGTTGGAGGGTCTGCAATCAGGGGTCTGTTAGGGGCCTTTCCTGTGAAACCATCACATGGGAGAGACTGTTTACCTGACTGATGATCCAGTGACAGTGCCCAGATGTCATTCAAGTCTCCTTAGAGCTAGGGAGGACTGGCAGGTGCCATCCAACAGGGCAAAAGGAGGAAGAGGCTGAAAGAACATCTTCAGGGGGCTCCCCAAGTTCTCTGGAGACTCAGCCTCAGCTGGGCCCTGGGAGAGGGAGGGTCACAGAGTTCAGCCTGCCAGCATCTGTATCTGTCTCCTACTAGAGAAAACAGCACCAGCCTCCTCCCCCGCCTCCTCCCCAGGAAGAGTTCTCTTGCTTGGGTGTCCAGTTCCAATTGCATTTCTGCCTTTTTTCTGCTGTGTCTTCCTCTAGCCCGATTCATTTCTTCCAGGGCAAGTTGATCTCCCCTAGTCCTCACCCTGTTTCCTGCTTCCACCACAGGCAGTTTCCTACCTACCTTGACACAGTGCTCAAAGACATCTTGGTCCCCAACCTGCAGTGGCACGCAGGGAGGACAGCCGCCGCCATACGCACGGCCACCGTGTCTTGCCTCTGGGCGCTCATCAGCAGCGAAGTCTTGTCTGCCGAACAGGTAGGGCGGGCTTGTCCCCAGCCGTGAGGGGCCTCCCATGTGGACCTTCTGCAGTGGGAAAAGAACAGGGTTTCTCTGGTTCTCTGGAAATTGACTTTGCTTCCTGACAATTACTGGGAAGGAGTGTGGTGAGGTGGGAGACAACTTGTCTTTTGACTAAGGGGCTGCTTAGATTCACACACTGCATGTTCCTCTTACCTGACACAAGGAGTCTTGACAAGGGTAGATCTGGCTTTCTACATTGTTTGCATTAATCTCCTTTGAGCACAGGAATTAAAGAAACAGTACAGTCATGCCAAAAGTTGGTGTTATGTTGTGCCCTCCTATCACAAAAATACCTCCCCAGGTGCATATGAGAGTATGTGAGCTCCACCTCCTGGCTCCTGGGTGCTGTTACGAAGCTAAGGTGCTGCCCGAGTTTCACTGGACATGATATTCTGTCATCCTACTCGGTTAGAGCTGCATAGGATTTGTGCCTCTCAGACTTTATGAGCATTGGAGTTTTGTTTTTTTGTTTTTTTAAGTTGACCAAGTTAAACCAAAAATATTCAGATTATCTAGACTTTTAAATCAAGATTCAAGTATATTTCTTGCATAGAAATTCCAAAATAGCATTCCATACACCTGTATATTTGTAGCAAAACCTAGTCTCAATCTACAGGCAACACACACACCTAATGAACAAACAGCAATTTTTATTACCAGAGCAGACCTAATCATGAGCCACATCCCCTGTCTTTCTATTAATTGTAGATACAAGAAGTGCAAGAAACATTAACACCTCAGATTATGACCACCCTGGAAGAAGATTCTCAGATGACTCGGTTAATGTCATGCCGAATTATTGACACCTTTTTAAAAACCTCTGCTGGTGTGCTTGATCCAGATAAATTCATCAAGATTTATCCTGGTAGGATATTTTTTTTCTGCAAAGCATATGTATTTGTTTGACAGCTGTTCTTTTATAGGAAAGCACAGAAAATGCTACTTTGATTTCTGGTCATGTTGATGATGAATCCAAACACAGCAATGACAGATGAGACATCCCTGAATAAATAACACAAATCAAGAAACAAGAGATCTCTTACAGACCAGATCTGGGGGGGTGGGAGCAGCCAGAAGAAGCAGAGCTGAAGCTCAGGCCCACACACCCCAAGGGTACAGCCCACAGTCTGGCAGGAACCCCCCTGCTTGGAGCACAAACTATAACCAGAGCCTAGGGGTGAGAACAGGCATGTGCACTAGCCACACCCAGAAGCCCCCAGTGTCACTGCCTCTGGAGCCAGTGTACCAGACAAAATCCCAGATGGAGAGCCAAAACATTCCCACTGAACAAGAGAGTGAGGCAGAGAGGCAGGGGGCTCATCATTTGGATGGGCTCACAGACTCAAATTCCTAAGAACATAAGGAAAAACAGCGTTTAGAAAGACACAGCTCAATGTTGAGGTGAAATATAAATTATAGAAGCACTTCAAAGTTAAATTTTAGAGTATATTTAAAATTATTAAAAAGCTAAAAGGATAATGATTCATTTAACAAAGTGAGAATCAAAGCAAATATGAATGAAGAGCAGATGCATATGAAAAAGTACCCACAGAAATTCTGAGAAATATTGACTGACGCACATGATTTTCAGGAAAGGGGTTACCTGGTCAGGTAGGACCTGCGTGTCTGCATGTGACTGTGATTGCCAACGCGTAGCCATACAGGTTTTCCATTATCTGTACTTTCTGTATGCCACAAATACCTAGTAACTTTTCTTTTTTTTTTTATTTTGCCAACATCTACTAGAACTTGAAGCTAGAAATGAGAGTAGGGGATAAGATACTTAGATATTTTTAAAATTAATTAGCAATGAGAAGCTTGACATACAGCACCCTTCCTTTTGCCACAATGACAAACTGCCAGTGAAGACTTCTTTAAAAAGAACTGCTGGCCTCTGAAGCAGGTTGGTGGCAGCAACCCTGTCCACTACAGGTCACCCTCCCACTTCCCCATACAACTAATTAATATTGCTACTCTTTCATGATACATCTTTCACATGGAAAAACCTGTGAGGAGCTTTTGCCAAGAGCAGAAGATGAAAAATAAAGCATGTCCTAATTAGCCAATTATAAGCTCAGTTAACATCTTTAGGATGGACCCATAAAATCTGCCCATTGTGCTAATAAACATCTGCAACCTGCATAATTCCTTAGCCCTTAGCCAAAGTTTCTGCACAATGTCTGAAAGCTGCGCTCAGTCCCATCTGTGACTCTTCTCAGGGCTGAGGTGGGTGCTAGTCTGGAATGTCATCGTAGGAGTAACCCTGGTAGCCTTTGGATGCATAGTAGGCAATGTGCAGGTGGTAAAATCCAGACAGGAACACAGATACCGATGATCGGGATAGGAACGCTGAGTCTGCCCCCCTTGCTGATATAACCCGCCAGCAGGAGGGAGCCTATGATGGTGAGAAAGTGCCAATCAGACAGCTCGGTAGCAGTGCAGTGGCCTTATAGGGGGCCTAGGAGGACTTTTCCTAATCTGAAGGTCGATGTAGCCATCATCTGTGCTGGAGAGCCTCGAGTATTTCACCTTACCACTGGGGATTCCAGCAGCCAGGTTGGTGCGAGACCACACTGCCCCAGCTACAGTCGGAGCACTGCGCCTGTCCGCCCGCACCCACAGCTTGCTCACAGCAGCGAGGCCCCAGACCTCCTGGTGCCCCTCACCCAGCTGCCGCCCACACATACCTAGTAACTTTTCAAAGATGGTTTTTGAGAATTCTTGGAAATGAAGATAGTCACTGATGTGTAAAACTCAGTGCACTGGATAAACTCTGGACTCAACATGGCTGGAGAGAAAATTCATGGATTGAAGGCTAGTGATTTGTAATGCACTCAGAACACAGCACAGAGAAGGCAGGGATTGCCAAGGAGTGACAGCAAGAGGCAGTATGAGTGAGGGATTCAGCATGTCTCTGAGCTCCTGAATAAGGGAAAGGAGCAGTCATATTAGAAGAGATCATAGTAGCTCAGGATTGAAGGCAGGCATGACTTGTCAAAGTGCATCTCAGTGCTAAAGATATCACCTCCTAATGAAATCCGAAGTTGAAGTCCACCTTTCCCACACTTTCTTCCACATTTGTTTTTGCTTTCATTCATTTTTACTGATAGTCTTTATAGTTCCATTTTTTGAACAAGTACAGCAAGTGTAATGTGTTGGCTGTTGGGACTAGTTGGCAATTTGCTCACTTTTTAAATTAAAAGATTGCACATATTTGGGCATTGGTCCTCCAGTTTAAGGCACATTAGCTTAGGATTCTTTTCATTGCAAAAGAACTACACTGTGTAGTACTGAATCTGGAGTGACATTTAATTGTTGGCTCAAAGGCCTCCCAGGATGCACTCAGTCCCACAACAGGACTGACCTCATTAGCATGACCTCAAGTTACCTAATAGAATTTGCAGGCCATCTTTGATATTTAAAATTAAATATCTGGGAATCACCATTAGGTGAAAATACAGTCCTAGCCATAGTTCTTTATCCATCCATGGCTGACTGTCAGTCAGCCTCGGACCCTCCTTCCAGGACATGGGTGATGGCCGTACCTGTACCTCCGGATCAAAGGTGCTACCGGGGGTCCCACAAGGTATCTGCTCTGAGGCACCTTCCTCCTGTTCTTTGGCCTTTACAAAATTTGTAAATACATGTGTTTCTGTACTTTTTGTGGCCATGAAGCCTGGTATCCCTGAAAGTGCCCAAAGTAAATCATGAGTAAATGCTAGTAAGTCCCTCTCTCCTGAAGTCCTGCCCTCTGAAGGCTGTCATGACTTGGGTGTAGTTAACAGCCTGTGCACCTCTCTGTGTGGAAGCAACAGGAGCTCAAAGCTACCTGTCAAGGAGGCATCCCACCACACCTGGGCAGCTGCTGGTCTTGCCATCCTTATTTTGTGTGCCAAATTGTATGCTGAGTCTCCAAAGATATCCAACTGTGGGTGTCAAAGAATCTTGTAAAGACTGTGTAAGGAAAGTATAAATTTGTTAAGTCTTATTCTCTAGCAAAAATAGTTTCTGTCATTAGGAAAGATGGTTATTCTGTGTTTGGTGACAGAATAGTCGGGTCCTTGGAACAGCTGGTAGATGCCATGTCACTGAGCCGTCAGTTCTCTTCAGAGCCCACCGTGGGCAGAGGACAGGGTCGGTCGGCAGATGTTACCCCTGTACTGTCTGTTCTCAGGGAGGCTGACTGGCCAGAGTGTGACAGGCTTTGACTTGAGCCTGAGGGATCACAAGTGATAAGACAGTAGGGAGGCTCAGCCCTGCCAGGCTTGCCCAGCATAAGCAGGACCTATGCTTATGAGCTCTGGACACACAGAGTCCCACACACATATCATGTGGGCTTCCTGTGACCCAAGGGTGAGCTCAAAGATTTGGAATGAAATGCCTGGGATGGAATGTCATATGTGAGCTGTCTTCTCCCGTCTCCATTTTGCCCCCTCCTTCCAGAACTGTTAAAACGTCTAGATGATGTTTCCAATGAAGTGAGGCTGGCAGCTGCGTCCACCCTGGTCTCCTGGCTGCAGTGCATCAGCAGTGACAGTGGGAAATCTTATTACCAGAGTAACATCCAGTATCTGTACAAAGAGCTCCTCGTATACCTCGATGATCCAGACAGCGCCATCCAGGATGCAGTTTTAGGTGAGAGTTTGATGGCTTGTAATTCTGATGTCGGCCTTCACAGCACAGCTGTGTCATCAGCCACACACAGCTGGCACGTGGGTGGGGTCCTGTAAACTTTACTCGGGGCCCTTTTGGAAACTCCAAAGAGTTTTTGTCTTTGTGGGGTATAGCCATTGATATTATCACAATACCAATTAAAATTGGGGGAAAAAAGTATCTATTTGCTTAAAATAGCAATAAACCCTTTGTATATTGACATGTTAAACAAGTTTTTGAAAAATATATATTTTCCAAGACAAAGTGAAAAAATAGAACATCATTGCACAATTTTGCAAACTCCTTAAAGTCTAGCTTGATAGAAGACGACTAGATTTGGCATCTGCTTCCAGCCAGTAGGTTGTACTATATAGTGTTTTGGTGGAGAATCTGTAAGCAGTATTAAGGGAAGACTTAGCATATAATGACATGTATTTGTCATTATAGTATTATAACTGAACATTTTCACTGCCCTAAAAATCCTTTCTGCTCCACCTACTCATCTCTCATCCCAACTTCCAACCCTCAACCCTGACAACCACTGATCAAATTTTTACTATCTCCATAGTTTTGCTTTTTCCAGAATGTCACATAATTGGAATCAATCAGTATATAGCCTCTTTGGTTATCTCTTAAAAACACACATTTAAGGCAATCTAAACCACAATGAGCTCCCACTTCACACTTTTGAAAATGGCCCATACTAAAAACACCAAAACCAACTGCTGCCGAGGGTGTGGAGATAAAGGAATCCTCGTACACTGCTGATGGGATGTAGACTGGTCTAGCACTGTGGAGAGCTGTGTGGAAGCCTCAAAACACTAAAGTGGACCTGCCATGCAGCCCAGCAATTCCACCCCTAGGAGTCTACCCCAAGAACGCAAAAACAGGAACTTGAAAGCTGCACGCCTATGTTTACTGCAGCACTTTTCCAATTGCCAACATATGGAAACTCTTTAAATGCCCCAAAACAGATGAATGGATCAAGAAGATGCAGTGTATTCATCTTGTTATTTAGAAATGTGCTGTTTAATCTCCAAATACTTTGGGATTTTCCAGTTAGCTCTCTACCACTGATTTCTAGTTTAACTCTATTGTGGTCTGAGAGCAGAGTCTTTATGATTTCTGTTTTAAATGTGTTCAGATGTGGTTTATGGCCCAGAATATAGTCAGTCTTGGTGAATATAATGTCAAAGCTTGAGAAAAATATATTCTGTTGTTGGATGAAGTAACCCATAGAGTCTATAGAAGTCCACAGTACATGGTTGATAGATGATAGTCTGGATTAACTATGTTCTCACTGATTTTCTGCCTGCTGGACCTGTCATTGCTGATAAAATATTGAAGTCTCCAATTACAATAGTGGATTCATCTCTTTCTCCTTGCACTTCTATCAGTTTTGCCTCACAGTTTGATTATCCGCTATTAAAAGTATCATATTAAGGACTGTTATATCTTGGGCCATTTTTGTTTCATTATGTCATTCCCTAATAATGTTTCTTTCTTTGAAGTTTTCTCTATTTGTAGCTGTTTTAACTTTTCATATGAAGCCTATTTCAGTAAAAGTAATTGGCTTGATATTTATTTCTGGCATTTTAAAGAGGTTTTGCTGTTTTTACAGAGGTCCTCAAAGCAGGCAGTGTCCTGTTTCCCGAGCTCCTGGTGCGAGAGACGGAGGCTGTCATCCACAAGCATCGCTCGCCCACGCACTGTGAGCAGCTCCTGCAGCACATACAGGCCTTGCCACCCGCTCAGTGACCAGGCCCTGGGGGCGGAGCTCTCAGTGCGCAGCTATGGGTGGAGCAAACAACAAACTGTCATCCTTATCTGGACTAGGATCTGTGGCCTTTAAACCTCTTAACAGGGCATCTTTATATCAACAGCCTACAATACTCACAAGTAGGACTTAAAGCAAGAAGGTATTCCCTAAAAACATGCCCAGTGTTCTCCAGCGACCGCTTTCCAAATCCAGCAGTCTCCGAGGTAACATTCACCATGGAACTTCTATATCTCTGTGTCTTGTTTGTGCCTCTCTTGAGAGGTCTATCAGACATCTACAACTGACTTGAAAAAAAAAAACCAAGTGTCAGCTACTCAAAGTCTTTTTTTCTTTAAAGACCCGCGTGCACTGGTAGGTTCATAGGTTATTGGTTCTGTCTTGCTTAAATGTCCATCAGGAAAGTTCTTGACTTTTTAAGTCAAAGTGATTAAAAATAAATTTGGGGGAAGGAGGAAGTACTGTCTACTACAACTTAATATCTCAGTAAACAGATTTAAAGGAAATTTGAAATCTTATCAATGAAAATGTTTTCATTTAAAAACATACTGGAACTTAAAATGTTACATGGATATAAACATTCACAGTATTTTTTCTTAAGTGAGTAATGCTAACAGTATTGAAAATAGAATATTTAATTGGATATGATTTTGGTTGCTCTCTTACAAGTAGCAGTAAAGTTAAATTCTATTTTAACACTTTCTACACCCAAGTGCCTAAAAGAGTTCACTTAAGAGGGTAGTATTTCCATAAGCCCAATTATTTATATTAATAGAAGGAAGATAATGCTGTGTGTATTTTCCAACAATCAAATGGTAACATTTATGCTTTGATGTTTGAAAGTTTAATTAAAATATTTATTATAATTATTTTATATACTTGTCTTTGTGTGTTTCTGGTAATTAATCAACATTTCTAGAGATGGCTTCTTTTTTCCCTAGCCTTAACCTCATGGTGATCCCAGCCTCCACGCTTTTCTTGGAAGAGTCCTCTCTGAACACCAGGTGGCAGGAGCGCCACACCAGTGGAGCAGATCACAAGGGCACACCTGCCTTCTGGCTCACCTTGGGAAGGAGCTGGGATGACCCTTAAGTCTGCATCACAGACTTGAGGAGGGTCCCCCATAGGGTGATGTCAGTGGGCATCCCCTTAAAGTCTAAAGTCATGACTGGGTTCTCCCAATCTAGTTTCTAGAATTGATAGCCATAGGGATTGAGGATGCCGTTAGCTATGATCCTCCACCAATTCCTTGCCTTTTGGCTTCTGTATTCTCTGCCCTTTCCTTAAAGGCACCTTAAGAACCTTCAAGTCATAAGCCTCAGTATCATCTGGAAATGCCATGGGCACAGACCTCCCAAATCAGATGCTGAGGATGGAGCCCAGCAATCAGGTCTCCAGGAGATTGAGATCCCTGCTCTGAGGATCTCACATTTTCCTATCCATCAAGATGCCTTATCTTCTATCTTTGGTCAACCAAATATAGCCAAAAATAAATGGCAGAAGGTTGCCTGAGAGGAGATCCCGTGCTGAGGAATATAACCAACTCCTCACCAGTCACATAGGTATGGCTTGGGCTAACAGTGTCTGTGGCTATCTACTGCTGCCAGTGTGGGCTGCCACACTGAGAGCAAGGCACTGTGGGAGATAGCCTGAGCAGTGCATTTTTGTTTCTGTACCTTGGTACAGTACACAGTGAATCAGTACTACTTGGCACCATGTTAGAAGCATACCAAGAGAAAAACAAAATTTCATCCTACAAAGGGTTAGTCGTCTAAACAGAAGCACTATGTCCCTTCACTTATTTTTTTTAATTCTTGGAAACTCTTCATATTCAATCAGAAAATATTTATGGCCCCTCTTGCCTCTGTGTGCCAATACAGACCCTAAAGTTTACAGCATTATTATTAAGGTATAATTTACAGATGGTAAAATTCTAAGTGGGTGAGTTTTTATAAATTTAGTGTTGCATAGTCACCCAGTATTAGCACATTTTACCCCAAAGAGTTACCTCAACCCATTTGCGGTCAATCCTACTTCCACTCACAAGCCATCGCTGATCTGCTTCTGCCTCTAAATTTTGTCTCTTCTTGTATTTCATATAAATGGAGTCATGTGACCTGGACATGTGGTATTACATGTCTAACTTTTTTCCTCCTGACAAAGGTTTTGAGGTTGTTTATTCATTCACTAGATCAGGGATCAACTACCCCTTTCTGTAATGAGACTGTAAATAGTTTAGCCCTTTGGGTCTGAAATGTTCATCTTTGTTTACCTGTTGATGGACACTTAGGTCAAGCAACTTGAGGTTGGCTATTAAGAATAAAACTTGAGTTTTTGTGAAACATGTAGATATGTTTCCAGTTCCCCTGGGTGAATGTATCTGAGGAGATTTAGTAGGTCATATTTGATAGGTTGGTCATCCCTGGCTTGTTCATTGATATTTTAACTTTTACTGATGAACACTTGACTTGAAGTTAACTACACACTTTTAAAATAAGATCTGATAAGTTTTGAAAATGTACACAGCCATGAAAACACCACCACAACCAAGGTAGTAAAATGCCTTCAACACAAGTTTTCTTCTATCCTAGGGCTATTTCAGCCTCCTGCTCCCTCCTCCACCTTCATCCCCTTCCATTCTATCTCAGACAACACTGATGTCCTATTCATTATTCAATAGTTTTCATTCCTTAGGATTATATATAAATATGGGTTTATACAATGTTATTATTTGTGGTCTTTAACTCAGCATAATTATTTTAAGAGTCATCCACATGGTAGTATCCATCAATAGTTTATCCCTATGCCATGATATTAATGTGTGCTTGTTTCTAGGTTTTTACAAATAAAACTGCTTAGAACATTCATGTACAAACCTCTGGATATATGCTTTCATTTCTCATGTCAAACATCTAAGAGTAGCATGGCATCAGGGTAAATATATTCAAGCACCAAGAGACTGCCAGGCTCTTCCAAAGTGGTGGCACAACTTTTCCCATCAGCACTATATGACATTTCCAGTTTCTCCCATTTTTTAAAATATTTATGTACACACAGAAGAACTGAGGTACAGGCTAGAGGTGTGGGGGGGAGGGGTGAGAGGATTGGAGGATTCACCAGAGACAGAGTAGGGAACAGAACAGGCAGACTCAGACTGACTGAAACACACTGCTGAGGGGAGCAGTGAGTGAGACAGGAGAGGTCTGCTGCGCCACGTGGGTCACCTTCCCGGCCCAGGATTGAATTCGCTGCAGTGGCTGCAGAAAGCTTCGTAGTGCTGCACTTTAACCACTTGGGCCACCAGGACAGCCCACCATTTTTGCCAACATTTGATACATGGGCCGTCTTATTTTTACCATGCTAATCAGTGTGTGATGCTATCTCAGTGTGGTTTTAATTTGCATTTCCTTGATATCTAATGATGTTGGACATCATTTCACATGCTTACTTACCATCTGTATATTATCTTCATTGTGAAATATTTTTAAATGTCTTGATCACTTTTTAAAATTTTTGTATTGAATATTGAGAATTCTTCACATATTCTGGATAAAGTCCTTTATTGTATTTGGTAATATTTTGCCTCATTCTGGTGCTTGCTTTTTTTATGAGGTATGCTTTTAGTGCTGTATCTAAGAAATCTTTGTCTAATTCAAGGTTTCACTTCCTAAATTTTAAAACTCCAAATAAAGAAACTTTAGTTTCATAGTCAGTTCATTTCTTTCCCCTGGCACATACACTGTGGCTCAAATACAAGTTAATTTCCTTTAAAAATACCCTTTTATGACCTAAAGAAAAATATGAGATCCCTGTAGGGTAAGTTGGTTGGTTCAAGATGAAACACCATTTATTAGTCAAAGCAGCCCTATATGTGTCAGTAGGGAAAATTACTAGTGTTAATAATTGTAAAAAATAATAATAAGGAGCACAACACTATAGAGAATGTACCACATGTAAAACCAGGGGAGAGAGGGAGTTTTCTACATGCTTTTATGTGTATAAAGTATTTCTGGAAGGGTACAAAAAAAAATTGGTTAAGAGTGTGGCCTCTGGTGAGGGGACCTGTATGGCTGAAGGACTGCAGTGGGAAATCAGTCTACACCTTTTGTTGCTTTAATTTTATTTTCTTGTGCATGTGTCACCCACTCAGAAACACAACTTGGCTGAGACTATTTGATAAACCCAAAACAACTGACATTGGATGTTCTTAGCTCAACATCATTTAGCACACCCATTTCTTCTGTTAAGAAATAAGACCCTGTCCCAGGGAAGGATTTCAATGCAAAAGGTTTACTGAGAAAGTTGAGACAAAAATGCTACAATTTGTCTCTACATGTTCATAGCAGCCCCAACTGTAAATAACCTAAATATCCATTAATAATTATGAATAGATACACAAACTAGTATATCACATACAAAAGAAAACTACAATAAAAAGGAGCAATCAATTTATACATACTGTCTCTGATGGCTTTCACAGTAGGCTGGATTTTCCCAATGTGAGGCCCTCTCAGGTGATGCAACAGGTTAGGATGCAGCACTGCAAGCTGGCCGCAGCCACTTCAGTTTGATTTCCTGGCCTGGAGGTTATCCACATGGTATGGCAGAACTCTCCTGTCTCCCGCTGCTCCCCTCAGCAGTGTACTTAGTTGATCTGCCTACTCTGTTCCCCACTTGTCTCTAGCGAATCCTCTCACCACCCCTGCACCTCTGGTCTGTACCCCAGTCCTGTATGAATAAATAAGTAAATCTTTAAAAAAACAAAGCCAGGGCCCTCCCTGCTGGCACAGTGCATTAAAGCACAACACAGAAGCTAAAGCCAGTTCAGCATGAGTTCGATCCCATCTGCCCCGGAGCTGACCCACAAAACGAGGCAGACCTCTCCTGACCTGCCCGCTGTACCCCTCCGCAATGTACTTGTCAGTCAGCCTGTTCTGCTCCCCACTCTGTCTCTGGTGAACCCTCTCACCACCCCTGCACCTCTTGCCTACATCCCAGTTCTGTATGCACAATAAATAAATCTTTAAAAAAAAAAAAAAAAGCCAGATGTGAGAGTATATGAGATGATGTCTGTTAATCATTAATTCAATAATGGATACACGGGGGCTCATTATATTCTTTCTATTTGTGTATGTGTGAGTTTTGAGAGCTTTCTCATAATTTAGAGTACAAAAACTTTAAAAACAATCATAAAAACTTAAAAAAAAAAAGACAAAGGCTAAGACTATGTTTTTAGAGGCTGCCTCCTTCAAGCAGGAGCAGAAACTGACCCCTTATGAACAGCTTGCCTTTCCACTACCATTTGTCTTACAATCAGCTGGCAAAATTGCATTTTCTCTAAAGATAAATTTTCTGCTTTCCTCCCACTCTTCCTTTCCACCCTGTAACAGCCAGTGTCATCCAGACATCCTGAAATTGCCTAAGATGTAAGTGAAGCAATTATTGAATATTACTTAGGGTGCTGTGCCATGGACAGCCTTTCTGTATTCTAGATTTGAGGGATTCTAGGCTTATTTTAAAGGCACTTTAAGAGACCATAGGCAGGGTGTTGCAGATAACTAGTATCTCAGAAATGAGACATAAGTCTCCACTTAGATACTAGTCCCTCAGTTTCTCTCCTTTGACCTATGAATGTCTGTGGCCCTGTATTCCAGGGATTGAGCCTCTGTCCCGTGAGGTCTAACTGGGTCTAACTGGGACACAGGTCTGGAGTCTGTCCCAAAGGCAAAAGCACCTTACCTTCTGCTCTTAGCATCTGCTCAGAGTTTTCTTGATGTCTTGGAAAGTGTAATTTGAAGCAACAAGACAGAGCCCCTGGTTG